TATGCAAAGTATGCCGCCGCATAGGAACGCGAAGGCCTTTAGGTGTTTCGTTTCACTGCATTTGCACGTTTAAACTTTAAAAGGAAAATGGTTTCTATAGAAATGTATATATGATGCATATAGAGAGTTGCTGGGAACACTGTATTATGTATATTAAACTTTTAACTGAAAACGAAATCGAATACAAAGAAAGAAAGTTGCATGTTTTTGTTTTCCTTCCTGCCAGATGAGAGCTTTCAAATTTTAATCATGAAGGTCAGTAATGACAAATAGAGAGAAACTGAAACTCTGGGTTTATTATGAGCTCATGCTCCAGATTTTCCGAGAAAGCGTGGGAATGAGGGATACTGAGGCAAAAGTGGAGGTACGGGGAATTCAATAGAACCCCCATGTAATTTAATAGAACACCCAGTTTCCGGATATCCTTATGAATTATTGCCACATATAAAATTTTTTAGTTTAGAATAGGGATTACTAATTCCTCTGAATATTATTTATTCTCCGCCAAGTTTTCCTTTCAAAGCTCAGTTAGATATCTGCATAACGCACGATAGTAATCTGATATAGAATAAAATTAAAACGATTTTAAAACTGATTTTCTTCCCCCCTTTTTTTATTATTTCTGCACTTCATAATCTTCCTGTTCATTGGATTTTCGTTCTCAGTTGCCAAGGTATCTATTCAGTTTTTAACTTTTCTGGTGTTCAATAGTTTCAATATCTGTTTTAATATATATTTATATATGTCATTTTAAGAAAAACTATTTAAGTTTTTATCAAATATCAACTCCACATTTTTACTAATAGTGAAATTTCATTCTGTATGATTAATAAGGTAATTAACAATAGGAATAAATATATTTTTAACATCTCGCATGACGGAAAAAAAGAACACTTTGAAAAACGTAACGAGTTGTAGAGATTATTTTAATTTCCTAATGGTTATTTGTAATTTTGAAAGTATATGTGGTAGAACAAGTATTTATGGAAATATCGATCACTTCCGTAAAAGAATTTAGTAGAGCGTGTTCTGCCTTCTGGCCATGTCGTTGCTTAAGCCAAGGCCGTATTATTTAAGTGCTTGTTAGTATTCTTTGGTGAGGTTTAATTAAGGGCCAAGTCAGTTAGTTATTTCTGTAGAGCTTCGGCTAGTTTTTAATTAGCTATCATTAGTTTAGTTTGTGTTTTCTATCTTTCTATCTCGGGCTTACAGGAAGCCTTTACTTCCTGTAAGCCCAAGAGGAGCCACTTGTAAATATTCTTGAGTTAAAATTTTTATTTTAACTCAAGAATATTTACAGTTATATTGTATATATTATTGACAGAATTGTTATTATTCTGACAGAATGTTAATTATTTACAGTTGACAATTTAACAGAATATTTACAGAATGTTTATTGTTATTTTAACTCAAGAATTTTAACTCTTTCTTCGGATTTATCCTTGCAGTTTTAGGAAGTTAGCGATTGATCGTTACACACTTCTTCTGGTTTCCAAGGGCAATCAATTTAACTAGAATGTTATAAAATAATAAGCGGAAATTGTTTTAATTTACTCTCATCAAATAGTGACCTTTTGTACTGGTCGTTGCAATCGAACGAGTGGTCATTATAAACAGCACTAACTGTTCTAACATTTCCAACACGTTTCTCTTATTGATATACGTGGACATTCATCTTCCAACCCAGGAAAAAAGTTAAACGCAAAAGATAACATTCAACTATTTTACGTAAAACAGTGCACGTTTTCTTGAAAAAATGAAACCATTCAATAAGACACTTTGAGTGATTTTTTTATATTCTCACAGTATTTTAATAGATTTAGGATCTTTCCATATTTATTTAGCCAGGAGCTTCTAATAAATAACGAAGCATTTTTGAAGCTTTCTATAAATGTAATATCTCAATAAGATGCCTTTCATTTGCATATCTGCTAGAGATATTTTATGTATTTACATGTTTAATTCGAGCAGTGTCGAGAACGGGTCGAATAAGATACTTTCCTAAGGTAAATGAGAGAAAGAGCAGTATTTAAGTGAAACAAATTAACGATCAATATATGAAAAAAAGTGATAAACCGAATTATTTATATGGCACAATTTTTAGATTTATCTTAGGTTAAGATGCGTAAGCATACGTTTCTAATACTCTCAAAACTCTTTATTATCTGTTTTACTTCTAGAAATGGAGTAGATTCGAAAGAATTATGCTCTGCGCATATTAAATTTGTGATTAAGAAAGGGAATCTTAAAATGTGAAATTATAAAAATTGAAATGAGTTTTGTAATTTAATGTATTTAAACGAAAAATGAAGCGAACAGAACTCCGGAAAACCGAATCTGGCAAAATTGTTTTTAATTTTAACGAACGAAGAAAGAACAAAAGATAATGTAATAGAACTCATTGCAAAAGTTATTGGGGGAAAAGTAAATTCATTAAGTGAAAAGGAGGAAGTGTGAATTGTTACATGGAGGAGGTAAATATAATAGGAGAAACAATTTCAAATTTAATCGTATATAATATATACAATATATTACGTAAGTGCCGAAAATTTGTGTTTTCGAAATAAAATTATTAGTGACAATAAATTACATTATAGTCTACAGAAATCTTCTCTAAAAAAATACAGTTTTAAAAGTGACCCTTTTGGGGAGCTCACGCATTCCACAGAGCGGAGGATCCCAAAATTACATAAACCTCGCGAAGTGTATGAGTGTAGAGCGCGAAGTGTATGACGACTTCTCTTCTGTAAAAAATCAGCCAGGAATTTTTGAATCGCTTATCATGTAGAGTTAATGCTCAGTTTTCACTTTTTTAATTTTTTATTTAAAGAAACAAGGGGAAATGGTTCGGCGATGATGAAATCCAGTGAAAAGTCGTGACATTGTTTAAGTGGGACGTGGGAGATTTTTGTTGCTTGGGAATAGAAAGCCTGATAACGGAATGTATAAACATTTAATTTGTTTTAACACTTACATTTAAAAATAATGGTATGCAGTAAAATTAAATTAAATTAAAAGATAAAAAAAATATGAAAGCTTTCAGATTTTACATTACGCCCAAAGGGGCATTTTTTAACGTTTTGTGGGTTACCTTCAAATTCAGTTCAACAGCAATATCGCAAAATATTTTAAAATAAGCATATCTTTAGAATTTCCAATACGCACTCTCGCGAGCTGGAGTGTTGCCATTGCTCGCTTTGATATCGTTGAGTTTGTTAACGAAAAATTCGTTAAAGTTTTACAAAATAGGAAATAGATAATAGAACAAATTCCAAATTTGTGTTTCCAGATGCCCATATTTGGGTGGAAACGTACGTTATCGAAATTTCATGGCTCCAGGTACCGTCGTTTTATCACGATGTGAGAAACATGCACACATTTATGCAGATTCTTTATTATTTAATTTCTTTAAATAAGGGCTGTAATATTTGGTGATAACAGTTTAAAAAGTGAACCGACATTTAAAGTTTTCAAGGTAAAATGCCAAAACGAAATTAATAGCCCTTCTGGGCTAACGCCCTTTGGGAAAAAAAAAACAAAAACAGATATTTGGTCAAATAAAATCTTTTATTGGTGAATACTTGCCTTTGTATCGTCTGTACTTTGCAGATACGCCTCATTTTACCATCTTTACAGTACACGCGAAATAAGTATCAGAAACCTAGGGGGGAAAGAATACTTCCTTGTTAAAATAAACTGCAATAAACATGCGATTATTTCAGAATAGTAGCTTGAATGCTTGGATTTCAGCTAGTTTGTACAACGTACTATAGATTCACTTATGAATAGAACTGCAAAGGAAAAACATCGCATTTCATGACCACTAAGGACACCATTGGAGCCTGAATCTGAAGACGTTTTAGCCGCTGCCAACGTTAACAGCAGTTTGATCTTATTACCACCTTTGTCCATTAAATTAGGGCTTATAAAAATATTCTAAAGCCGTAAATATTTTAATGTAGCTTATAAACAATTTTAAAAATGTACGCAGTCTTAAATGTTTTATGATTCCCATTTTGTTTCTCTTAGGCAGTTTTCTACGTAGACGGTTTCTCCATTTGAGCACATAACATTCATCTGCTTTGTTGCAGGAAATTAACTACCTACATTTTTTATTTAATATGGATTACTCCATTCAGCAACTCATACTTATTTTACTTTTAGTCTTGATAGTTTATTGCTATATAAAATTACTTTTATAAAAAATCAATGAAATCTATGCAATAACAACATTATCAATTACTTGTGTTCCCAAGAGAAAAGTTTATAATACCTAAAATATTTGAGGTACCTTGTTAGAAATTTATGTTAATTCCAAAAGCTTTGCTCGACTTCAATTTAAAGCTTTAAAAACCCATCTTGCAAGTGTAAAATACAAGACTGAAGTTTTCGTTTATATTTAGTTAAAATTTAATTATTTCACAAGTATATAGAAGTAAAAAAGTAGCAAAATAAAAGCAGCCGTAGTATGCTCATATTTTTGCTTTAGAAAAATTTAGTCTCACTGGAAAATATTTTTAAACGAGATCCACGGTAAAAGCACCCCTGTTCAAAATTAGAGAGCTATCTAATGTATCAAGTGTCAATTAAAAATTTATTTGCATCAAGGTATAACTAGTACGACCGCACAGGCTACACAATTTAAGGTCTGTAAAATTTTTAAAGGCACCGGGTGACAAAAATCCCAGCGCCTGCCCTGATTAGCAAATAAGCATTTCCTATTCTTATGCATCTAAATTTGCTGTAATAGGGTAACGTAATTTATTCAGATTTAGATCGTAGAATTAACTCTTAGGCATAAAGGAATGTTCTCTGTGCGAAACGTGAATAGAAAATTAGGTTATCAATGTAATCAGTAAACTAAGCTTGCAGTGACCGCCGAATCCAACATCCAATTGGGGCTCATGACTTCTGTCGTAATCTGGCTCCACCTCCTTTTTCTGCTTTTAAGTGACTGCATTCGACAGCTATTAGAAACCTTATTTTTTCTGTAAGTCCTTCAAAGAGGTCTCTAAAAGGATCAACAGTTTCTCCAGCGTAAGTTTTTAATGCTTATTATATTTAGTAAGAATTAATTTTATGTGATTTTATAATTAGTATGATATGCCATCGATTCCTTTATTCCAAGAAATATTATTATTAGTACAGTTTGGTATTTCGTACTAAGATATATAGTTCAAAATAATTTACAAAGCAAGCTATCTGAGTACCATAATTTAATATTTTAGATTGTAGAGACATTAGGTTATTTTGATAAGGAAGACGTGAGAAACGAACAATGCCCTCGCCGGGATTCCAAACCTGGACCTCTGTAGTACGCGCTAAGCGTGCTAACCGTTTTACCACGAAGGCATGCCGAAAGGAGGGAGAAAATATCTTATATACTCCCCCTTTTAAAGGGCGACTGGGGATTAGTGGATCCATTCGCCAAATCCTGGTGGTGGAGAATCATCATCCACCATCGTTGCTACTGTAGAGACATTAGGTTATTTTGATACGGAAGACGTGAAAAATAAGCAATGCTCTCCCCGGGACCTCTCGAATACGCGCCGAGCGTACTGACCGTCACACCACAAAGGTATGCCGAAAGGAGGGAGAAAATACCTTATAAGATGTTATGGAAAGGAAAAATATACATATGCCAAATCTGACAGACTGTAAGGAAACTTTACGAAAGCTATAAAAGCCGATTGAGATCTTGTTAGATGTTGAGATCAATAATTTAGATGAAAAATATCGTAACTGGAAACATGTTAAATGAAATCTCTCTAAACTCTGCTTTATCATGAGATTGGAATTCAAAACAAGTTTTAATTTGATTTTATTTAATGTGAATCGATATTTAGTTGATTATTTGCAAATTCTGCATCCCTAAGTGGTTACTTTTCTAAGAGTTCCTTTGGCTTCCTAATGCAAAATTGTTTTCAATCTAGTGTATGGTTCTTAGCATGTAAAATAAAATAAAAATTATACTGAAAAGTTAGCACTTATATTGAATTAGAAATTTTGGTCTATATGAATTTAATCGATTTGTTTTGGCTTGAAACATTATCTAGTTGTTTTTCAGGGAGCACTTAGACAAATTTCAAGTAAATATTAAATTCTGTTTGCTTTAAGTTATTTTGATGACATCATAATATTTCCTAGAATTTTGAAAAACATTTAGTACCTCTTAAAATAGCATTTCATAGGGAAAAAGTATAAAGTTAAAATATTCAAAATGTCCCTTTGATAAAAAGATAGATTTTCTAAGATATGAAATTGAAGCTGTACAACTCAGTAAACTCTTAAAAATGTAAAAAATTATGAAGATTTCTGGAAAACATTAATGTATATTATAAATTTATTTCAAGCTGGACAAAAGTTAGAATCCCGTTCAAAATTTATTTTAAAAAGTAATCCACATAAACAGACTCTTTAATGCCAATCAGGGTTTTCGAAATTTAAAATATGCCTTTAATTTTTAAACCAAATTATAAAGGGCCATTCTAATAGTAGTTTTTATCACTAATAATAATTTAGTCACTAGTAGTAATGTTTGTAGACTCCACTAAAGTTTTGGGTGCAGTTCTGAAACAAGAACACCAGGATAATATCTTACACCGTTTAGTTTTTCATTCTCATAAATTAAGATGCTATGAAAAGAAGTTATAAAAACATTGAATTAAAATATCTAGTAGATGTAAATACCAGTAATAAATTTTATTATAATTTTCATTGGTGTCTTTTACTACAAGCACTAAATGTAGAAGTATATAGCTGCAAGTTGTTTCAAAGGCATCAAATCCCATAATACTATGAAGCAACTTCTCCCTTTGAGGAAAAATAAACAAATTTTGACCCTTTAACATACAAATTAAAAATCGAAAACCGTTCATTTTTCCAGCCGATTTTTTACTATTTATTTATTTCATATAGAAAAGAAAATTTCCTTCAAACCTGAGGTAATTTCTCTGGCAAATAAAATCTCCAAATTCTCTACACTGTAAAAAAAAATCTGTGACGTTACTAAAAAAACTCATGGAAACTGGGATGCCATGGGTTATTTGAGTAACAGTAACAGGTGCATTCTTTGTAATTTTACAAGGATTATGCCTGTAATAGTTACAGATCTTTTCCTTGTCATATTACAGCAAGTAATTATGTAAAAAGAACATGTTTTTCTCATGTAAAATCCCAACAGATATATTTGTAACCGGTACAGGTTATTTGCTTGTATTATTACAGTAAATGATTATATGTAAAAAAAAAAAAAAAACATGTTTTTCTCATGTAAAATACCAACAGTATATGTAACCATTACAGGTTATTTGCTTGTATTATTTCAGGAAGTAATTATGTCAGTATAGTGTATTTTTCTTATGTAATATCCCAAACTATGCATCTGTATAGGTTTGAGATTATTTGCTCCTTATATCACATTATGTAATTACATATGCTGAATATATTTGTTACAACCGAAATATTAAAGGATATATCTGTAAGGATAATATGCGTTTTGCAGCTGAGGATATATTTTGGATGCATGAGCCCTGATTAATAAAACAATGGGGGTGTCTAATGCTCTTCAATGCCGTAGCCTTTAATTTTTTTCCCTACTAATTTTATAATTAGAAATGGAGAGGGGAAAATTAGGCAAAAATTTTAACTTCCAAAGGACACAGTGAACTAAGAATATAAATGCAAAAAATGCAAAGTAATCATGAACAAACTACTAGTAAATATCATAATTTTATTTCCTTAAAAGAAACTTACATTTCAATAAGAATCCACATAATTACGACATTTAATAAGTTATCTCGTTTCTACTTCTCTATAACTTGAATTTCTCCCATTCTTAATGTCATCTTTGCTACTCCTTAGGCCTCAAATCTTATATAAATAATTAGATAATTTGACTATGCAGCTGACGTGGCGAAATTTCAGAGTGAATATCGATTGCAGTTTGCTTCACTTTAATGGGTCACTTCTTGTATTAGGCTGGCATAAAGTCCAACACTTAGATAGGAAAGGTTCAGCATGGCCTTAGCAGGTAGTAAGGAAACGTTTGTCTTTCTTAGCATGACAAAAACAATCACTATGTGGACGAATACATTTTTAAAAGCTTGGAAAATTATTGTATGTGGTAAGACAGACTGAATGGTGATGACGTTAGACTTCAGAAGATGACACAAACTGCAATTTTAGAAGCAGTACATGCTTTAAGATGTAGGGAGTAGCACTGGACAATAATAGCAGTGGATGAAATTAAAAGCAGAGGGAAGCAATAATGAAATTATCTTATTAGATACTGAAATGCTAATATTACAATGCATTAGATTTGTTTAAATAAATAATTAGTTACCAATAGTTTATCCTTGAATACGTTTTATTTGGAATATTCTTACTGTAATCACATCCTTCAAAATTAAATTGACAGAATAATTTCCCCCTCTCGATTTTCGTGCTATAAAATTAATAAAAATCGGGGCAAAAACCTGTGAGTAAACATGATAATACCTTTATTTTCCCATATATATAGACATGTATCTTCATGAAAAACATCTAAGAAAAACAAGTGATATTTTTATAAAAACATTATTTCAATAAACAGGATAAGAATTAAGTTTATTTTTAGACTTATGGTATATGAAATATACTCAATTAAAATAAATTAGAAAATTAAGTTTAAATAAATTTTAAGCCAAATTATGTATTTAAATTGCAGTAATTTAGTTGTAGTAATTAATATTAATAAAAAATAGCATATTTCGTTCAGAAAAGTATAAAAATTCTTCTACAAAATTGCAAAAATTACCAACATTTTGGTTTATCTGATAATTGTCAAATTTATTCCTTCGCTTTGCATTTAGAATTATAGTTTTAATTTTTTACATAAATTTGTTTTTGGTCTAAAAAAAATTCACTTGTCTTAAAAGAGTACATTTTTGTACTTTTTGAAATTTTGCAGAATTTCTACTTTACCAAACAGAACATTTGAATTTATATATAAAATTAACATTAAAAATCAAAACACAGATCAGAAACTACATAAAATTTAACTAATAATTATTACTAGTCTCATGCAAAATACTATGAAATTAAATAATAAATTAATAGTGATATTCCACATCTGCAAAATTTGGAAATTTTATGTTTAGATAAATATTTTTAAAAAAGGTCCCTTGGAACACTGGACATTCTGCAATTACAACTTGCTTAAATTATAAATACACTTCAGGTCTTTCATAGCATTGCTTTTCTTTTTGCTAATAAGAAATATTACCTTCAGTTACTGTATAAGGTATTTTCTCCCTCCTCCCATCATGTCTTTGTGGTGTAATGATAACACACTCCGCTCGTATTCGAGAGGTCTAGGTTTAAGTCCCGGCGAGGCATTGCTCATTTTTCATGTCACCTGCTTCAAAATAACCTAATGACTTTACAATTGAAATTAAGACCTCTAACGTCACAAATACTTACTTAAATGTGAAATAAATTTGGCTCACCTAAAACAATTAAAAAAATCAATCTTCAGGTATATGTCTAAAAATCAGACCCTCCTAATTTTCCTTTATTTAAAAGATATTTGACATGACTTGGCATATATGTTACATGTTCCATGGGAAAAAATATAAATAAAATTAAAAAGAAAAGTTAAAATTTCGATCTCCATATAGTGTTCTTCATGCAATGTAGGAAGGAATTAAATGTTAGGAAATTTTCAAATTCCATTAAATCATTATTCATCATGCTTTGCTAGGAAATTTGTTTTCTCACATTTGCAATAATTGTGTAGCTGCACAGCGAGAATATAAAAGTTTGAAAGACTTGCGAAAAGGGCTTAAGAATGATATAAAAAAGATGATTTGAAGATACTGGGAAGATGGATCATGGAATAATAATAATTCTACTTGATCAGGGGCTCATGAAGTTGTCTGTAAATGATGTCGGTCTTTTTTATCTAATTAAAAATGTTGTAATGTTTCACTCACAGCATTAGAAATGAACAGATGAATAGCATTTAAGTAGAGTGTAGAGATTTCCGATACTCGGCA